TCCCATTACAGATGACTTTACCCCCAGACTGCCTGGTAGCATGATTACTTGTGGTACATAATCTCACTGCTCTTAGCCTGATTGTTCACCTTTTGCTTTCCTGTCAAGATTTCACATTGTGGAACCAAGTTTCGACCAGTGTAGCCCGCGGAATCATTGTAGTACTCAAGCCGGAGCAACACGTCAGGATGGCAAGTTTAGGTCAGCGACAACGTGATCATCGGGTTTGGACGCACCGATCGTCCGGATCTAATCAGAACCCATTAACTGAATGCTATGAATCTTGTGTGTTTGATTTTCACAACGAGATCGATTATGATCTAGGGTCACAGAAGTGACCTATTCCGTTGTCTTCTGTTAGTCGGCCGTTGTGTGATGGCTGTTCGTGATGGCCTGCACAATGACAATCCGTGACCGAAGTTTATATTTGTCAGCACGTGAATCAATTCTAGCAGAGGTCATTCCACTCACACTAACCCTCATTGGTTCGCTTCTTCCACTCATGAGGCCCCGGGCTACGGCCAACCAGAACGTGCGTAATTTCTGTGTCTCTTAACCCATCACGTTCCTTACAGCCGATGACCCCAGGCCGGTTAGACTTACTAGCTTGGTAGCTCAGTCAGTATGGACGAGTTTGTGGTATCTGTGCTCTGTGCTAACTATTTGGTAACGTGTTGGAATATTGGTAGCTGTCATGGCGGAAAGGCGTCAAAGAGATCACGAAGAGTTTGGGTGTTGTTGGTGTTGTACGTTTTCCAGGATGGGGTCACCGTGACCCCGTTTGTGGTTGGCTGGAGACGTTGCAAGAAATGGTTGCTAATCGATGTCAGTGGTGTTCGTGCTGTCAGTTTCTTTCCAGGTTATCTGACTGAGTGGTTAAAAGTGTAGGCACCCCATAATGCTTGTCATAGGCTAGCACTATGTCCCCTCCCCACCCACTCCTTCTCTTTTTTTCACTGCAGGGCTATTAACATAACTATATATATTTATATTTGTATTTATATACATATATAACTAGACGAACATTATGGTTGTACGGCAGTGAAGCATCAATGCCAACACTGATGTTGCCGTCTTTGATGATGACGATGATGATGATTGGTAGCTCGGTGGCATTCAGGTGACCCATCCGATGGCGCAATGATTATGTTTCATCGAAAGGTGAAGAAATATCTGCAAGCCAGTTGCCAAGGTCGGTGAACAAGCCAATAACCACCTGATCAATAACCAACGATGCTCACTTTTTGTCGTCCCACTCATCTACCAGTCAATCACACTAAGGACTTTTTCTCCTGGTGTTTTTGTACCAAATACATAGGAGATAGAATGACTGAACACCTTGTGAAAGCTGGCCTCGTATGTGACACTTACTGGTTGAGACGAGCCTGAACTGTGCAGCGAGGCAAGGTTAGTTCAAGGTTCACTTGGTTTGCTAACCCTCTTGAACCGCGAATGCAGAAACACCTTCATTTTGACAACTACATTTTTCGGTTCCTGTGACCCCCTAGCTTTATGGATGGGGGTGGGCAAGTGCTCCCACGAGTGCCTCCATCCGCAAGCCTTCCTTCCCCAACTATGGTGCGTGATTTTCCTGGCTTCCTAGAGTAGTTTTCTTATCAAATCATGTTCTTAGGCTACAGGCGCATAGTCCATGAGCTGAGGATCCCACTTGCCTTCTATATTCATGCAGTTCGGCTAGCGTTGTGTGGCTCCTCCGGAGAATCGAGTTAGTAAGTCATCCGGGAAAGCTCTATTGCCACTCAAGTCACATTCGCTTGTCGTTAGAAGAAAATGGAAACGGACAAAATATCTGCTTAATTAGTTTTGACTCCACCATCTTATCGGCCTAGACATAACCTAGTGTCGCGCATGTTGTAGTGCTTTTCAGAACGAAAACGAGCTGCGTGATAACTCACTTCTGAGTTGTCTGGTTGTATTATGGAGCACCAAACAGTTCTGTGATCCAATAAAGGCTTTACCTCAGGTAACCCTATCAGGAAAGTACATTATATGCTGAACGTAGGATGTGTCTAGTTAGTCCCGCAGATCACCGTTCATGTTTTGGATCCCGTTCCATATATACCCGAATCTTGATTGATCGGTTGTTCACTCTAATGCCAATCTAATGTCTATCCAAAAGTATTCCTATTGACCTCGAACGATAATATGACTATGGCATTGATCAGGCACTATATAGAGGACATAAGATGATTAATGATCTTGCGTGTGGCCAACCACCAGCTGGCGCCGAGACTGATTTTCGTGATCAACATTAATCATTAGTCAACTTTGGACACCAACACCCCCCAAACTGGCACAGGTCTTCTCAGTGTTCGTGGCCAAATTACAACCACAGCTCGATTACTGATGTTTTTGGTGAGGTTGCTAAGCCCATGACAGCTTGACTGCTTACCTCTCTGTTCGGTTGCTCTCTCACTCCCCGTCCGATAGCTCACAGCACACACGCTTGTCCGCATACGCGTACACACGTTGAACGATGCTATCGTATTCGCATCATTCATTTTACGTGCATATCGCCCATTACGTGTGAATGTGTGCACACATCCATCCGTCCATCCATCTGACAATGTTCGCATCGCGTCAAACTTGTACGACTGATTCCCAATCAGAGAAGAGTCAAAACGGTGTGGGACAACCCCTGCTGGCCAGCCCCCTACTGTGCGAACAGCGTGTGAGTGGCAGAGTCACAGTTCCACTGTCAGTCAACTGGAAAACTATTTTTCTCTTTGCAAAGCGAAGCATACGAGCAAACACACACACACACACGCTGGCCAGGATACGATTTGCATCCGGTACAATATGTTCGCCTTAGACACTAGCTAGTTCTTTTCATTACGAAACGAAGCCAGTTTGGCACCAAAGGGACAGACTGGATGAGATTTTTCCACATCCATTAGAGAAGTAAATAGAACCAGTGCGCTTTTATTTGAGAACACGGAAACACTACGGGCAATTGTATGATGTAGCAGGACGCTAGCAAGCCAGATATTGGTTCTTAAAAATTTCCAGGTGGAAATTAAACGGAACAGGGGAAATAAATCTCTTTTTTATCACCTGACATCACCTATAAGGTTGCTGAACTTGAGAGACAGAGCTCAGTAGTTGAGGCCCGAGCCTACTGACCAGAATGTCCGCGTTCCCATCCCATCTAGAGTGCGCTCGTCTAGGCTTGGATAAGCTGGCAGTGTCTTAGCTTCCTTATGGTGGCATGCCAGCTAGGCATCCAAAAGGGTGTCGTTATTATATATGCAAGGTTGCTGAAGACTCCTCAACAGTCTACTGCTGGTTCTGTCCTCAATGAGTCCCATCCGGTAGGCGTAGCCCCACCAACCTTAGTTCCCAATCGAAAGCCGAACTGTATCGGAGTGAATTTTCTCATTCATTCACAAACCATCGATGGATGTTCCTTAGCCCAACATTATTCCCAGGCTTGATGGAAACTCTTCGGCAGTGCGCTCTTTTTCAGAAGACATGAAACAGTCATTGTGCAACACAATAGAGTGAAGAGTATCAAAAACGATCGACTCCATTGGGATTCAGCTAACCCCGTTTCCCGCTGACATCAACTTATCTTGAAAGCGACTGTATTTCTCCACTTGCGTACAACTCGGTGATGAAGTAAAACATAAAATTGACGGAAACTCCTCGAAACCTTGTCTGCCCAATGAGTCCTAAGAAGGAAAAAACAGTAGTTTTAATTGACCTCATGAATGGTGTTCAGGCAGGTAAATTGATTCTTGTTTTTTATGTCTTGCTAGTGGAGGAACGCGGTTAGGTGGCATGGTGAGAAATGGCATACTACATTGGGAGGGGGCGAGATGGTCCAAGTGGTTAGAGCGCGAATTTGCTGACCGGAAGGTCCGTGGTTCGAAGCCGACCTCTGGCTCTCAACTTCCCGTATAGGCTTGGGCAACCTGGCAGCCCTCGTGAAACCTTCGGGTGGCATGGCAGCTAGGCACCAAAAGGGTGCTACATCTGAACGATACTACACTGGGTTGAAGTGAGCTTTGAAGCGTACGGTGGGGTCGATTAGAAATGCCCAAAATACACAGTCCAAAAGTGCTCGTTGTTTAAAGTGACTGGGTGACTAAAGGACCTTTTCCGATACAGACTAACGTCTCTGTACAAACGTGCGAAAACTCAACTGTTCATAGCTTGGACCGAATGGCCCGTGTACCTCAGGTTATCGAATCTACGTACCTGTAACAAGAGATAATACCGAATGATCATCAGCGGAATATTTGAAACAAACTATGAATAGGTTTCGTGTTGTGTGTGTGTGACTGACGCGAAGGCAAAGCAGCGAAACCCAAACCAACTTTGTCTGGTTGGTATACGCCCTGTCGTGTGTGTGTGTATGTATGTATGTATGTATGTATGTTCACATCACTCGAATTCGGAAAGATAAAGCACACACAGAGACAAACCAGGCCTTAGTCTCCCACTGACCACAAACTAGGCCACGATGTGACCTCCCACATCGCCAAATTGACCAGCCATTAGCCATGTCGTCCACAAAACCGTACTCATCACTCGTCCAGGTAACCATGGATGTGTCGGTCTATTCAGATTTAGGCGTCAACAACCATCCTGTCAGCAAACCAGTTCAGTTTGATCCGTTTTATTTTGTTCCGCAATCTGTAATTTAGTTTCTGGTATATGGACTTGACGGTCGTTCCTCCCAATATAGTACGCTCCTTTCCAAGGAAGCTAACTGACGGCTAGCGCAGTATGTCCCGCAGCCCAACCCGATCAAGACTGTCCATGAGATTGGCAACCTAACTACGCCTCTTGCGAAGAGCTCCGGTTAGGCAATGGGGAAATCTCTCAACGGGTGACCTGGAACCCAGCGAGTCTCTCGGTTTATGATGTTCTCAGGCAACTGAATGTGCTGCACCAGGCCGCCTCATGTTTCAGTCGCTACGATATTTGGAATATCGCGATACATGTATATCTTTATACTGTACTACTCATAAGGTTGAGAACACCATAAGTGAGAGATTCAGCTGGGTTCCAGGTGAGTCTCGAAAGAACCAAATTAGTCTGCAAATGAGTGGTGGGATGTCGATGGATTTTCAGCAACCTTATGAGTAGTACATTACAAAGGTATCCATTGAGTTTCCTTTTGACTGCCGTGTTGCTACCTCTCGTATGCACCCTGGTGGATGGTTTGGCCATTCCATCTGCCCCCACGAAAGCCAACGTTCGTCAGCTGTACTCTCACAACGATGCCGCAGAATTCGCAGTCCTTTTTGGGTTTTGTGGTATGGGCTGGGTCGGCTACGCGTGCGTTGTTAATGTTCTGCTCGGTGAACGTTACAGTAGGCTCCGATGAAACTTTAAGCTGAATACTTTACTGCAACTAACTCTCTGAAAGTTTTTTGGTCCCTGAATTTCCAATACCATCAAATTGCGGGATGTTGTAAGCCAAGGATTACAGGTTCATAATAGTAAACAATGAGGGAACTGAACACTGCTGTTCTAAGAATCCACAGTTAGATGTCACAACAAATGTCTATCATTCTACGGAATATGCCTACTAATGTATTACACTGTTCGAACGTTTGATTGAACTGTCTTGGTGTACTTCTGATTCAAAACTTATCGATTACCAATGAGTGATTGTCTTCACCAGTTCGGTTCAAAAATGGCTCAGAATGGCCACTGGAACTGTGCTACCCTGCCAGCCACGAACAACAAATCTGTTCTATCCCCAATCGATGCGCATTTGTATCGAGCCCAGAAGCCGATCGATACTGATCTAACACGAGTGCTTATGAATTCATATTCACGGGAATACACAGCAAGTTCATCTTCATGCCCTAGTCGTCGTTTCCTGGCAACTCACTCTGTTCCAAGTTCGGATTTTCAACGCTAACCAATCTGTTGTTCCATGGTTCGATTCATAGCTGATGTAATGCAGATGAGCCCTTCGTATCAAACTGCTACCGTTGCGATATGACACGCATTGCATCAGACGTGTCAGAATGGCAGAAGTTGGCCAACAATGCGTTGAGGTAATGACGTGATAGCAGTGCAATGCGATGAAACTACTAACAAGATTAGAGGTGTATTCTTGTAACGGAACACTATTCGCCGACAACCCACAAATGATTTACCTTTTCTTGAGGCTCATCAGGTAGGCGCAGTCCCCAAGTTTCCGTCAACCTTATATTCTACCTGAAACGAAATTCGGTGCAGTTTGCGAAACACACTCGTCTGCACATTTGGTGTTGACTTGAATTTTTCGTGCACAGCAATATTCGACTGAATGTTTCATGTTTCACTTGGTACGATACTCCAGAATCAGATTATATTTCCCTCTCTGGAGCTCTTTCGGCTTATGTGCTATAGTTAGACTGTGAGACACTTGTGCTTTGAGAACCAGCGATTGTTAAGTGATTCCCTATGATATGCACCAATGAAGAGCCTGAAAACGTGGGACTTTGACAGATCAAATGCTATCACGCGCACACAGTGATGAGCTTCAGTTAGGTGGTTTGGTTAGACTTGACAGAGGAATTTTGTCTCAACCATTATAGGAGCTCGTTGATACGCCAACCGACTGATCGATCGCCCCACCAACATACGTCCATCATTGTTGCTGTTCTGAAAATTTCTATTCAGAAAGGAGACCATACAGACAAAAAGTGCAGACTCAAGCGGGCCCACACTTCAAAGTTAAAACCGCACTTGTAAACACTTCCGCCATAGTAACCGAGGTAACAGTAAGCAGTGAAACGACTTCCATGAGGTGGGGCACTTTGTCACATAAACTCACGCCATCAGATTGGTCGATCAACCTTCAAGGCCATGTTCACTCGCTTTTTCGTCAGTTCGGAAATACGGGTTTACCCAAAGACTAATCAGTTGGCGCAATATAAGGGTCCAGCTTACGGTGCCTAGCTGCCACGCCACCCAGAGGATGCACCTGGGCCGAGATACTGTCGGGTTACGCAACCCTAGACAGGGGGAGTCGAGATGCAGAGGCCGAGTTTGAACCACGAGCCTTCCGGTCAGTAAGTTCGCGCCTTAACCAGTGAGCCAAGCAGATATCGACCAGGTTATTTGATTCCCTAGTGGATTAGTTCAGATGCCACCTGACCCCATCCTAGTTGTTAGGTCTATCACCTGAAACAGACGTGAAATGGTGACCTGAATCGGCATATATGCCAGAGCTAATAACGAAGCGGGGAAGCAAAAATTGGGCAATATGTGAATGAAATAGGATGTTGGTGCGGTACAATGAATAATCTGGCCGTTTGACGAATTGAGTCTTAACGCGCGACCGAACCGAGCCCCAGCTGAATCTCTCGTTTATATATTCTTCAGTGGATTAGTTCAGATGCCACCTGACCCCATCCTAGTTGTTAGGTCTATCACCTGAAACAGACGTGAAATGGTGACCTGAATCGGCATATATGCCAGAGCTAATAACGAAGCGGGGAAGCAAAAATTGGGCAATATGTGAATGAAATAGGATGTTGGTGCGGTACAATGAATAATCTGGCCGTTTGACGAATTGAGTCTTAACGCGCGACCGAACCGAGCCCCAGCTGAATCTCTCGTTTATGATATTCTTCACCTGAATGTGCTCGCATCGTGCACGACATTGCCATGATATTCAGTTGGTATGACATTGGAGATATCGTGGTATGTTTTATTGAAGGAAATCACTCATTGGTTTGTTGTAGGTTAGTTTTCAGTGTTAGGTCTATACAATACAACACAATACAATAAAATACAATACAATACAATACAATACAACACAATACAATACAATACAATACAATATACAATACAATATACAATACAACATACAATACAATATACAATACAAAATATACATGCATCGCGATATCTCGAATATCGTAGAGACTGAAACATGGGGCGGCCTGATGCAGCACATTCGGTTGCCTGAAAACATCACAAACGGGAGATTCAGCTGGCTTCCAGTTGAGTCTCTCGAAGGAACCAAATTAGTTTGCAAATGAGTGTATATTCGCTAATTTCGCGCAATTTGGTTTCAAGTAGAACACAGGGTTGACGGAAACCCGGGGACTGCGCCTACCTGATGAGCCCCAAGAAGGGCGAAACCGGTCGTGGGCTGTCGAGGAGTTTTCAGCAGCCTTACCAGTAATGCATTACAAAGCTATACAATAGTACTTTGCTTAATTTTCCCAGCGGTATCACCACATAATATAAAATAACTGCTGGCCGAAATGGAAAGAAGTCTGTCGAGTTTGAGGCAAGCTGTGAACATTGGTTTAGCCCTTCGCTGTCGTATTAGGAAGTCACATTATTGTGTGAGCACTTTTGTCACAGCCATCAGGACATCTTCTGTGGGCACATTTGGCTCGGTTACTGTCGCTGTGTAACCAGTGCGTGCACAGTAAATATCCAGCACACGAAAATCCACAAGGCCCATTCGGTTTGCAATTGTGAGAAATTCTGAAAGAGCAATCCTCTGTCCATACTGTCCTAATTTGCTGCCTCATTCTGTAATGAATCATCTACACATTCGAGCTTTGATTGTAAAGAATATGGAGCATTATGTCTGAGAACATGCCTCCGGAATGCGAAGAATGTGAACCTCTAGCGGACCACTCAAATTCGTCCCTAGGTTTGATGTGTGTAACAAGAAGCAACGGACTTGCACTCTCATTGTTACAAAGAGACAGTTGACACAATCACTTGACGAAGCAAGTGAAGCAACCGAACGACATCTGACTTGACGGTGTGCCGGATAAATGTGAAATGCTGGTTTCGTGATCAGTAGTAAGGTTAGTTCCAGACTAGTCTCTCATCAAAACCGAATCGGTGTGCAGGTAAGTGTATAAATCGAAGTAAGGTCTGCGCGTTCGATATCCCCGGTATAGGTAGACAGTGGTTCCTGATGAAAGCAGTCTTATTTTTTATCGATTTTCCTAAGTAAACAATAGAAAAGTGACGAAAGTCATCATAATTCTTTTAATCTCCATGAGTGCTTGAGAAGAATAAGTCTATTTTATGGGTCTCTGTGAGGTCCCTGTAGGATGGAATCAAACTTGGATGTTATTGAAGAATGAATGACGCGAGCGAGAAGCGAAATTGTAGCGAATTTGCTGCACCCGAGAAGGGACACGCGGTAGTTGGTCGCTGAAGACGTTGGTTAATATACACAGTATGGAAGCATGGAAACTTCTAGAGAACCATATAACTCAGCAGTAGTGATAGAGTTCTTGCAACTTGTAAAAGTCTGTGTGAGCTACCTGCGCGAAGAAACTGGGACAAAATACGTATGACGATGAATGGCAGACTATCTATATACTGTGTTCAAGCCTTGGTAACTTTTGCCAATGTACAACATGTTCAAGAGTACTGCATCTACCTGACTGCTCTACACAATTTCAGTCGAGGTTTCGTCCTATACGCAAATACGGTCCTTTATAAGAATCTGAGAATCACTGTACCTCTGTTTCACGCTTGTTGCAGATCCTCAGCAGTGTGCAGTTCACGAAACTCAGAGTGAATGACACTTTGCCCTGTTTGAGCAAGAGCCAATCACAGCCTCTCGTGGCCAAATTGTTGAGTGTCTTGGGTTCGAAACTCTCCGGATTTCGTTAGATGCACACTGACGATGACTCCAATAAGGATGAATCCGTTGTGTGGGGCTTCTAGGCTTTTCAGTGTAGATTGGCTTCACTGATAGGAAGATAGCTTAACCGAAAATTACGAAACTTCTTCGCGCTACCATTGATCTATCTATGGTTAGAAACGTCGGTTGACGCCCACTAATCTCACTCCTTGAATTGGCTACCAACCTGCTAGCGGGTTCAAGTTATCCAACGTCAAACGTGGTGTTCAACTGTTCAATATCATTTGCGATCCTTAAAACTGTAAGTTGAATACAATTCATCTGCAGATTAATTTGGTTTTTTCGAAAGACTCACCTGGAACCCAGCTGAATCTCTCGCTTATGATGTTTCTAAGCAACTGAATGTGCTGCACCATGTTGCATCATGTTGCAGTAGGTACGATATTCGAGAAATCTCGATACATGTATAGATGTGATGCACTACTCACAAGGTTGCTGAAAACCCTTCGACAGTCCACTACTGGATTTGCCATTCTTGGGGCTCATCAGGTAGGCGCGGTCCCCGAGTTTCTGTCAACCTTATGTTCTACTTGAAACCAAATTGGACAGATTTCGATAAATATACTACTCATTTATACACCAATTAGGTTTTGACAGGAGACTCACCTGGAACTGAATCTCTCGTTTTTGAACACTCCTCATCTGCACGCAAAACCGTATGCCTCTTTGTAGAATCAAAGCTATTTGTCTGGTTGCTGGGACACTGAGTGTTCGCAACGCATAGACACGTGGCACCCTGTATTAACAAATTCATATGTAACAGACTCCAGTCCCCACTCTCAAGTTGATAAGTATGCGCTAATATGCCAATGGCAAGTTGGTCAAATTTCAGAGCTGACCCTTATGGTCACCTATTTGTACTGTCGGAGTTTTCAGCAATTTTATGAGTAGTGCATCATATGGATCGGGATATCTCGAATATCGTAGCGACTGAAACATCAGGCGGCCTGGTGCAGCACATTCAGTTGCATGAGAACATCATAAACGAGAGATTCAGCTGGGTTCCAGTTGAGTCTCTCGCAGAGCCAAATTAGTCCGCAAATGAGTGTAGTTCACCAATTTCGTGCAATTTGGGTTCAGGGTAGACGGAAACTCGTGAACTGCGCCTACGTGATGAGCCCCAAGAAGGGCTAAACGGCACGTGGGCTATCGGAAAGTTTTCAGCAACCTCAGGAGTAGCGTATTTCGTGATTACGTTTCACATATACACAGCACACACATACTAAGTAAAAGTTCTGGCAAATTTGCGATTTATAGAATGAGGTATTTGGCAGGATTCAGTGGAGTGTCTTTATTCTGTATCACTCAATGCAGTCTACCCCAGCATTTTCTGTCAAGTCATATAAAACACACTCCATGCTGTTGAACTTTTTCAGAACCTCGACGATTCCAGACTGTCACTTTCGGCACTTGGCTTGGAAACAATCAGGATGAAGTTCAACAGAGCAGTAGGCTAGTGTGAACTTCCTACCCAACTCATAGATGAATGTGAAGTATCTGGCATCCATGTTTCCTTGCCAGCATTTTAAAAGCATCCACCTTGTTACCTTTTGAACGCACACACACACACACACACACATACATACATACATACATACAGGGGAGAGAAAAGTAAAACCATCGTGAACTTTGCGGAAGAGACGCGCCCATTTAATTTCACTCCCACCAACACGTTTGCATCGCAGTAGTCAGCTTAACCAACTGTAGATTTCATTTTTCTATCACAGCTCGATTCAGTTCGCTGATCTCCCCCGGGGGAAAAGTTCACCAAGTGCGTGATTGACTGCCACGAAAGCAGCAACGCTGGTAAAATGGCAATCGTGTTCATATGGAACACGATTGTTTGGTGGAATTCGAAAAGCCGGGACTGAATAAAAATCGACAGAGCAAGTGGACGCGATTCGGTGTGTCGTATTGCTGTGAACATACAACAGCAGAGTAGGCCCTGTGATTATTAAGCCGATCGGGGTATTTCCATCTGTCTCACAGTTATGATGTTCAAGTAAGGTGGTAGGCTAGTAGTCACCAATACTACTGCTACTACTACTAATAATAATAGTAATAATAATTGTTCAATCTAGCTGGCACGCTACCCAAAGGAACCACGAGGGCCGAGATCTGGCCAGGTTACCTTAGCCTACGCTGGATCAACTGATATTTCAATGTTGGGTTCGAACCATGAAACTTCTGATCAGTAAGTAGGCACCTTAACCAGCAAGCAATCTCGAGATCAACCTCGTGGGGAAGACTTGTAAAAAAACGTAAAGTGTTCAACTGAAAATACGACAAGTACAACTAACGTGGTCATTTCGGCTTTATCCGGCATTCTGTCACAAAACGAATTAGAGTACACGTCACACTATCCGAGTCGATGATTCTCCGTTAGTGAAAAATCAAACAGAAAGCCAACTACAACTACTGATAGTTTCCACTATCATTCAGGAATTACCTTTTTTATATGACAGTCGCTCACGAACGACGAGAAGCGCAACTACTGAAACTAGATTAATCTGCTGTTGTCCTTCAGAGCTTGCGTACTCTCGCTAACATTGGAAAGTGACATCGTCTGGCTCAAAAGTGTTTCTGCCCTCCCGGCAAAAACCTAGTTATATAAGCGACGTTGAAGCCATTTTTACTTTTAAAAAAATCGTTACAACAGTAGTTGAGACAGAAGAAACGTTTTTTACAGCAGCTTCTGGAGTGAGCAAAGATGTGGGGGAAATCCAACAGCTCAATTACGGAACACTTACAGGATCGGCATGCCATTAACCAGAGGGAACCAGTGCCTACTGACGGAAGTCTGTGTAGACTTCAGAAACAGAGATCCTAGTCAGCTTGTGGAGTAAAACGGCGATGTGACAACAAGGAGCCACGCAACCGTACATCATCCAATAGGCCGAATGTAACGTAGTTGGAAATTGTGGACAGAACATCACCGGTTTCGTTCTTCCAAATCTTCACCAAACGTATTTCTTCCTTGAAAACCAGTGTGTACGTAAGTTGTGGTGAGCTCTCACTGGCAAATTATACTGTCGTTAAAGGGGAACTCAACCGAAATTCAGCTGAATCTGTCGTCTATGCTATTCCAGAGTTTTCGTCAACCTGAGTAGTATTCACTGTCTTGAATATCTTCCCGGTTGAAACATGAGGTGGCCTTTATGCAGTCGAAGTGTATCCAACTTAGTCTCACATCAACACAAAGTTAATTTCCAAACGAGTGCTTATCTCAAAATGACAGGATATGGTCATATTTGGCAATATTTGCACAATTGAACAGTGATCATGGAATCCACAGTAAGCAGTGGGCTGCAACCCTAACCACCTTTGTTTCATATGGGTAAGTCTAAATCCCCAAAAAGTTTTATTTAGACAGGGCAGGTGCCATTACGGCTAGCAGAACTTTCCTCCTTATTCCAACCGGTTCGAAACCCCGTGCGTATCGATTACGCTCTTATTTTTTACAACACAATTGTTCTGCGTCTTGTATCGATTGTCTCATTCGATTTTGACTGATAATTGTTCACCGGTTTTGGTTCCTGTATTCATTTGTAATTCAAATGTAAGGAGGTCAGTCACAGCCCTTAATCCTTCCTTCACAAAGGGAGTACCACTGTGAGGTCTCATCAGCTTGGTTGAGTCAACAAAATGTGTCGGTCATTTCGGATGGCATGACAATTAGGCATCAAAGGAATGTGACAGCTAAGCAAGCTAACAAGCAGCACTTTTCAACGTATGTGATCGACTAGTTAGCACGCTTGTCTGACTTCTGCTGAAGCAACTTTCAAGGAACTTTTCTATGTAGTGACCTGTCCCAAGTACACAATCTCGAGAGGAAGAACCTACATACACAACATCGTGATTTAGAATGCTGATATCAGGCGTCACCTGTGAACCTTCCCAAGTTCACCGAAAAAGGTTTAGTTGGGTCTCTTGGTTGGCCTCTTCTTGCTGGACTTCACAAACGAATACAAAGGTGGCCCTGGTGAAGGCAGCAAACAATAATACGACCTTTTTCTAAAAGAGATTTTCCAAATTTAGCTCCCCCATACTGTGCTTTCAGTCTAAGACCCACAACCTGCGCACTTCGATGATGTCCGACTCGAACTGACCTTTTCAAGTCAGGAGTAACAAATACAACTTTTTCTCAGTGGAAGCCACTCAGCTGAAAACGCTTGGGTAGTCATCGTTTTCGTTTCATTTGGTAACAATCGGTAGGTTCCCAAGCATTTCCGAATACGTAGAGTTCAAGTCAGTTCTCAATAAAGTGGATGTCTAGAAATGTCATAAAACTTTCCCGCTTAGAGCTGAAACGGATGCACGCTGTTTCCACTTGGAAACTTCGGATAACCAGTCCATCGTATCGTAGGAATGTAGCAAGAAGACAAACACTCATAAAGAAGAAGACCAATAGCCACCAAGTCATATGCTCCAGTGATCCATATAGCATACTCTAGAGTCTGAGAACCCTCGGCTTTTAGGTGTTGACTAGATAGCTGTTCAAATCTGATTCTTATGGCTACTTATTTGTACTGTCGGAGTTTTTAGCAGTCTTATGAGTAGTGCTTCACATGGATCGCGACATCTCCAATATCGTAGCGACTGAAACATGAGGCGGCCTAGTGAAGCACATTCAGTTGCTTAAAGGCATCATAAACGAGAGATTCAGCTGGGTTCTAGGAGAGTCTTCCGCAAAACCAAATCTGTCCGCAAATGAGTGTAGTTCACTAATTTCGTACAAGCCTACTAACTTACAACTGTCTTGTCACAAGTTATGAAGATGTAATTAGTGTACAGGTTAGATGAATAGCTTTCGTGGGTTCTATACTGTCCTAAAACTATGAAATCTTCTCCCTAGGAAAGATCCTTCCACGCTGGAGAAGTCTCCATAGATAAAATGAATTGTAGCGCATGCTGACTACATTCAACCTTCAATTTTTCAAAACAACATATTCAAGTAGAACATAAACTTGACAAAAACTTGGGGACTGCGCCTACCTGACGGTCCCCAAGAAGGGTGAAACCAGTTGTGGATTATCGAAGAGACTTCAGCGACCTTAAGAGTAGTGTATTACGTCCATAAATATTTATCATATTTCTATGGTGAATCTGGTGAATAGATTCACATGTGACTCCTGAGATTAGCGCTACAAAAACGTTTGCTAACAATACCTCAAGTGATCGGTGTCCTAAACCATAGCGCCAGTTCAGGATCTATTGTTTGTGGTACACAAGTTTTCCACTCCAAAGTTTCAATGAACTGACCTTGTGACAAACAACGCATAATGAAATGCGCAGTTTCGGCACTTGCCAAGCACCACAAAAAACCACAGCTTCACGCCACA